ACAACTAAAAAATGTTTACTAACTAAATGAATCTAAAAAAAATTTATTTATTTATTTATTTAATGTATATTATTGTATAATATAATGTATTATTATTTATTTCAAAAACGTATAAAATAAAAATTCAGTTAAAAACATAAAGCACGTATTATATCATTCAAGAAACCTTAAATACCAAACATTTTTTCTTTATTGAACCAGATCGGAGAAACCAGGAAAATCCTTAGGTTTTAGAGTTTATTAGATTTATCCTGAGGAAAAATTGAATTTTTTATTTTCATTCAACTTACAGTTTATTTCGCTTAAGTTATTATTTATTAAAACACAGTTCACAGCATTTAAGAACTAGCCTAAAAATATGCATTTAAAGAATGTAATAAAACGGTTTATTTATAAATTAACGTAACAGACTGTGTAGAGTGGTTAAGCTTAATGGATTTGGAAAAGAAATTAAACCCGGATGTCCCTGTTGTGGTGTTTCGGAAACATGTCGTCACTACTTGCACCGCTTTTGAAACATTAAGGGCCAAACTACTGAGGGAAACCGGACTATATATCATCACGTATATATTTCTCTTAGCTAGTAAGCAAGGATAGATACTATGAAGCTTTCATGTACGGATGGAAGGAAATATTGGGGGTTGATCATTTCAACCTCCACTATTCAAGAAGAGGGAAGAACGAAGAAAGAGAACAAGTAGAAGAAGTATTGTACTGCTTCTTCCAAAAATCTGTAGTGCCAAGAGGCAAGGAAAGATGAAAATAAAATAAAAATAAATCCCTTTATGAACTAATTTCAATAAATTATCGACAACATATAATCTAATAACATATTTTACATATAATCTAATTAACATGGAACATACTGAATGTCTTTACATAAACCGCTAAACACAACTGCCCAATATCTACACAATTATTTATCTCAGAATGGGATAACTCAATTTTTTAATTAACGAATATATATCGCATACTTGCTTGAGTAGCATTAATTCGATAGTACAAGCGATAAATTGGATATAGGCGTCATTATCGTCAAATTGTTTTTTTTATTCATTGCACATGCTGATATAATCCACGGGGAAACAAACTGCAACACGTGCAGAAATTACTATTTAATTTTTTTTTAATATTATAAAAATACATGTCTCAACGTTAAAGTTACATAAGATAATAATATGGCTGATAAATATTCAGGACGCAGCCCTTTAAAAAAAAAATTATTTTTTATTTGTGTCAACGTTTCAAAGCAAACATGTGGGTCATCTTCAGGGCATGGTTTGAGCACTGAGGGTGTTCAAGTAGGGGATAGGAGGGTATTCAAGTAGTGCTCAAACCACGCCCTGAAGATGACCCACATGTTTGGGTTGAAACGTTGGCACAAATAAAAAACATCTTTTTTTTTTTTTTTAAACACTGCGTCCTGAATACATTTATCACCCATGATATGTAGAACATTCGACTAGCTTCCTTCAAAAAGATAATAATAATTAGATAATATCTTTAAATAATATTTTTGTTACATATATTATAAACGACAAGGTGCTTATTAGTAGTAAACATGATATTTAATAGGGACATGTGAAACCATCCCTTAGGCACTTTAATTTCTCTCCACCGCCCTGCTCTAACATTACTGAAGATTTAGACAAGTAATCCACTGATTGATTCGAGATTGAGCTTATTTTATTAACAGTTATTTTGATTGAGCTTATTCTAGATTGACACTTATTTGAAGTGTAGATATATAAATAAATTTAATGAAAAAAACACATTTTTATTGTGAAATTCATAATTTAAAACGTAATAAACTCTTACTTTCCTTCTTTCTCAGGGTAGCGTAAATACAATAACTTTATTTCCTTATTAATTGGGACTTGGGTAGCTTTTTAAAAATAGACACAAAGTATGTTAAGAAGTACCAGAAGAAGGGTTGGTTACGTTGGAAACTCCAGGTGTTTAATACACCCCAATTATATTATCTACTAAAAAAAATTTAAATCTTATTTTATTTTATTTTTTTTTTTTGAAACTAGTCATAATTATAGATTTTATCAAGGCAATTAGTTAAAACTCAACTGAGAAACATTCTTGTAAAAAATCAAATAATAATAATAAAAATAAATATGTGATGTAATTTCTATGACCGCGACTGTATTATCTCTTTTTTTATTTTATTACGTTTCCTTTTAAATATATATATATATATATATATATATATATATATATATATATATATATATATATATATATATATATATATATATATATATATATATATATAAATTCAATAAAAATATTTAAAAAAAGGACTGACAATATTAATTTTCAGACAAACGTAAGTTGACAGGCGCAAATATATTTTTGATAGACAAAAAAAAAAAAAAAAAATCGTACGCAAAAAAAGTGAAATTCTTAGGGGCCATATTGAAATTGCTTTTTCTACGTTCATAGGCAAAAAAAAAAAAAAAAAATTATTGACTATTGCTGTTTAAAAAAGGAAATTCTGATTTGATAAATAACCTCACTCCACTACAAAAAAATAAAACCTAAAAAGGAAAAAAAATCCAATGACGGTGTCACTACACTAACATCAGCATTAAAAATCAAATACTACGTCAAAAGTAACATGGACGGTAAGCGTTTAAAAACAAAATGTTTTCAAATATATATCTCAGAAGAAAGTTCTTATCAACCAACTATCTAAAAAAAGTGCCTCGCCCTATTGAGGATGTAGGAACCAGGAAAGAGAGGAAAATATTATGAATAAATATTACGTGATAAGAATAATCTTTAAACACAACAATTCATTACAGTTTAAGTTTTTTTATTGCATAGATAATAAATTTATATCGGTACGAGTAATGTAAGGCATTTATTAGGAGTAAGTATGTATCAATTTTGATCATTTTCCTTGGAAATAGGTGCAAGAAACACGACTTGAATTTCAAAAGCTAATAGAAATTTGTGATAACCTTAAAAATAACTGCAGGTTATCATTAACTATATTTTCTATTTATTTAATTATCTTGTAATATATATAAGTATTACATACAAACTTAAATATAAAAGCATTACAAAGTTGTGAATCCTACATAGGCTGTAGCGGTACAGGTTCCTTTGATTTATTATATTTCAGCACTAGTTTTAGGTAATTAATTACTGCCTTGTAGCGACCCTCTGGCTAGTGTTGCCCAAATGCGAGACCGAGACGAGTCTTGGACTAGGTCTTGGTGTCGTAACAGTCATGCAGTTACCAATTAGCTTATTACCAAAGAGATATTACCGTAATTTTTTAGATATGAGAAATCTAACTAAGTATGAAAAATTAGAAAATTTAAATGCAAAAGCATATTGGTTATACCAATTCTTTACATATAGTAATTAAAATCGTCAAGTATTAGTAACTATTTTGCCTCAATTTTTATTCAAAAAATTGATTTTTTTTAACAGTCTTGGTCTTGGTCTTGCAAAGTGCCAAGACCAAGACCGTTTTTGGGCAACACTACCTGTGGCAGGGGTCTTCCTGCGGCACACCCAGTCTCTATAAAATGTGTAGTCTTAATTAAATAATTAAATACTAAAGTAATTAATTGGCGGTTGAGCATAATCTCGACCCAATCACATCCCTGCATAACTTTTGCCATGGAACAGTACTTCCTTTCAAAGTACTGAATCCAATACCCTTAATGCAGCAATGCAGGAAGCAGTTGTTGGCAACAATATTTTGCCTATATATTTACTGAAACCAACTGATAAAATTAATAAATATTTTATTTAAATTTTGCACAGATATCAAAACCACTTAAGACGGACCCCTAGAACAATTACTAAAAAAGATGTAACATAGTGAGGAAAAGATCCACCTTCATTAAATTGAATTGAAACAAAAATGCTTCTCATGGAGAAAAATAAACGGATATATACAGAGAAGTGATTAGGTATACTATAAGAGGACTTGGCATACTGCCAAATGACAGGGAATTTTCTAGAAAATTAAAGGTTATTAAGGAAAGAAAATAAAGTTAAATATCAATAGCGGACGGAAAACCAAGTTATTGTTTGTCTAAGATGTGTTTGCTGGTTTGGGTGTGCCTTTTTCCACCAAACCTCAGAAGCAAAATAAAATGGACGAATTCACTTAGCGATTCCCTCAATCTGAGAATGACCAAGGCAAGGCCGAAACGCTCAGAATTGTAGTGGAATTTCATGATAGTGGAGAATTATTTCACTGTCCTTCATTGACTGAGAACTTAATTGTAGGTTGCAGCCACAGTGAAAAAGACATTTTTTTTTTCGATTTCCATTGTTATTACAATCTCTTAATCTAAGCTTAGCAGTCCAGTACCTTACTCACTGAATTACTTAGTCAAGGTTTTGATAATTGGGAAAAATACAAAAAAATTAATTATTTTATCAAATGGTTTCAATGACATAATGTTGCTGAAAGACAACTAGGTTTTTTTTCATAATTCATCTTTTCCATTCTATTTTTTCTCTTCCTTTTGCCTTTCTTTAATCCCTTTCTATCCCCAAAAACACATTCTCTATATTACTCTTTCATAATTCTAGGGGTGAAAGTATTTATTCATTTATCAATGTGGTCTTACTGAGGATTCCATAATGTATTCATGCCTGCTATCGTCACATAACAGGCTTACAATCAAGATAGGGATAGAAAGAAACCTTATCTTGAATGAATTAAATATCGCAAACACAGCAATTGTTAAACACTAAATTGCTAAACCATACCATACAATCGTCAGCGTCAAGAACCCAGCGAATACAAACGTCAGATAGGGTCGACACGTCTTTGAGAAACGTCCATTTGAGTTCATTACAGGACCAGGAGTCGCCACTAAATAACAGGTATTTAAAATATCTTGTGATATTCTGTTTTTAACATGTTTACACAAACGTATCGAAAATAACAATAAATTTATACCTAATTAATTTCAAAATATTATTTTTTTTAAAAAATATGTTTGATTGCAGAAGGAATGACTAGGATTCTTCTCATACTTCTCTTCGTTTCGGCAACCATCATGACCAGTGCAAGACAATTCGTTGGATATCCGTATAACCCATTTGCTCTGAAGAAGGACTGTCCTTGCTATTCATGGCTGCCCATGCGGATATCAACATCAACTTCAGTATGAGTACAATATTTTTTTAATGCGTAAAAAAATATATTAAAAAAATTGTATAAAGCAGAATAAAATAATACTCAGTTATATGAAATGATAGTAGTCATAAAATAATGCACGAACTAGTGTCGAAGTCACGACTTCCAATTCTACATTCCAATCAAGTACCGTAGGCTAATATAGTTATTTAATGATTAATATATATTAATAATAAAATTCAAACTAATTAAATAATTAATCGACTTAATTAAAGCTTTGGATGTACGCGAATGGGATAAACAATAATGAATTTTTTCCTAAAGTTATCTATTGTTAGCATACATAGGCCTTCTGTCTCAGAGACACAAAAATTGATAGAGGCGGAAAGAAAGAAAAACACACCGAAATAGGTCCTTTATGTATATATTGCCAAACGAAAGATAAAAACAAACAATAATTTTTAATTCTATTCAAATTTAATGTCAAAGTGTTGAGAAAAGTATTTCGTCGAGGTTATGGCAATCGATAATTAATTATATAATTAATGATTTAAAATGTATTCATGAATAGAATAGGAACCGGCATATAAAAATTAGTTTAATTGTGTAATACCAAGTATGAATTAATTCGGTCATTAAGTATCATTGATGTAATCAATAATGCTACTTACACAACTTGGAGCATAAGAACGTTATTTCTTAGGAATTTCAGAAAACTAAAAATATATACAGGATGTCCCGTAAGTAGAGGAAAATATTTAAAAGTTTAATAGTAGCTATCAAGATTTATCAACCTATCAAGATGACAGAAATTTGGGTGAAAAACACAATTTCATAACAACCTTATATACAATTTTTTTTTAAATCATTATTTTTATAAGTAAAATGATTTTTCAATCAATAATGTTTATTACAATACATCTCATATCAGGAAAAAACATGGAATAAAAGCTTTTCAACAGTTAATTGAAGTCATTTTTGCAGAAAACGCGGGTAACTTTAAGGTTACCGAATAGGAAATATTACACAACTTGAATGTGACAAAACTTGAAGGTAAATCTCAAAACGTATCTTGATAAACCTCAACAAAATATTGACTTACAGCTTATTAAACGATGGTGTTTTTTGTAAAAGTGTAGTACAGTTCAAGGGTGATAAAAAAAAAAAAATCACAAATAATTTATGACTTTTTTTTAAACGGAGCTTAGTTGTGTTTAGCCGCTCAAAGGTCTCTTTTAAATAGTTTTAACAATGACAAACTCTAATTTCGATAAAAGTAAATTTTGTCTAGTTTACTATGGAACAATGTTTAATTACTTGAATCGAATATTTTTAAGTTATCGCTTCCTATTCAACACAAAACGCGACTCGCTTAAAAAAACACAAATCTTAAATTTTCTGCTGGAAATTGGGCAATTGTTTATATTAACTTTTTTGTAGAACTTTATGGCTACTATCGACCTTTTAATTTTTTTCCTCTACTTAAGGGACACCATGTATATTGATAATAAACAATTGTACAATCCGATTTCAAGCAACAGTAAACAACAGTGGTTTTTTTCTGTATCAATAAAATTATTCCACATTCAAACATATTGATTATTATATAAAATACAGACATACATTTATTTATTTTTTCAAGTTAAGATATATTTTTCTATTTTATTATTAAATATCAATGCCATAAATTTAAATGTCTATTATTTTTTCAGTTATTCAAGAAGGAGTTGAAGAATTCCTTTAAACTACCACCTAAAACCGATACCATCATTAGTGAAATATCAGTTGATCCTATAATTGATGTAAAGTCAAATTTAATTAATTATGTTTAAATTCAAAACTAATATGTAATTAGAACTAATTATGTTTGCATAAATATTATAGCTAATATGGCTCATGATATCGTTGATCTCTTAATGAGGGTTACGAGAAATACTATTCAAACAGGCGGATATAGAAACATGCAAGGTAAGAATTTTATATCACTATTACATGTGTGTATGTGTGTGTGTGCGTGTCTTGTTTAAATTGTATTTATTTATTTTTATATGAAGCGTTTACTAACAAAAGGATGTAACTTCAAAAGGTGTGCCATTGATAAATGCTATGATTGCACCTGTACTGTAACTGATAACTAAACTATATATTATCTGCATAATGTTGCAAGATTTTAGTGGTTTCACAATAATAAATACATGAATATTTAATATGAAAGTAATAAATGGATAGATAAATTATTCGTATCATTATCGACCAGCTAAGTCTATATAATTCATATTAAGATTAAATAGAAATTAATTATAATTAGCATATTTTTAAATTATAATATGTGTACAATTTTAATAGAAATATTAGGTACATTTATATCAAAATCTGATTACAGAGAATTTCAAGATGTCAGAACACAGAAGTCAGAACATTGGCTAGTTTTAGATTCATTATAAAATATAAATGAAACCAAAATGCAATTAGAACTGTATTATTTAGTAATATTTGCTAATTTGTAAGTAAAATAATGATGTATTTTTAAAGTTATTAATATTGAAGGAATTAGTAAAATTTAAAAAATATTATCAATGTTCATGTGGACTAGTAATTTATTTTGCTGATAACACAACAATAAACATATTATTTATTTCGTATATTCTTCAATACTGTTATATTAACCTATACTTGTTTTTACATTTTTAAAATAAAATGAACATTCTAGTATATAGAACACACTTAATAATTACTTAGTAGAAGCACATTATAAACATAATTTCAATACAGTTTAAAAATAATTGTAATTATCAGTGGTCGAATGAAACAGTTAACTCAATTAAAAGTAAACATTTAACTTTTATCTATATATTTATGTAAATGTAGAAAGGTTTTTGTTGAAACGTTACTTTTATTGATAGATCCAATTTCAAAACAGTTATTTTTCAAATTTTTATTTTCAAACCTTAATGTTTTAATGAAAAATATGATTTTACGTTTACATTAACAGAAAATATAATCATCAGTAAATGTACATAGCTATATAAAACATGATAATTTTGTAATGCGTTTAATATAGCAAATATTTATAAGGTATATACTCACAGTACAAAGTATAAAGAAGATAATACATATTCCGTTGATTCGAAAACATTAAAGCTTTTACTTTTCAAAAAAAAACAACAAAAAAAACAAACTGATTAACAAATAAAACTTTGTATAATGTTCTATAAGTTAACATTGTAATATTTATCAGTATCACTGAAATTTATTAGCTTTCTCCTGTGAATAATGGACAGTGTAATAATTATGAACTTTTATTATAATTTAATCTATGAAAATGTGTACTTTTTTGTACTTCTAACTTTTATTTTTGAGGAATAAGTAAAAGTTTAACAAATACTTTTTTATGATATTTACATATGTATTAAAAAAGTAAAAACTTTTATTTAACAGTTTAAAAAAAAATTATCTTTAACATGTTATTGATAAAAGTTTTTTTTTTCCAAACAGTTAAAATTGAATTCATTCGTAAAAATAAATAACTGTTTCAACCCCTGGTAATTATTAGCAGTTTATATAAATATATTTATTATTATATAAATCATTGTAATACATTTAATTTTAGTTGAAAAAAAATTATCTGATGAAATTCTTATTCTGAAGAAGTTCTATAGTTTCAATGCACAATGCCAAAGGTCGCACAAGAATTATCAAATTTAAAAAAAAAAGTTATGAATATCTTTAAATAATTTTAGTGTAAGAATATTACAATTATTAATAACAAAATAAACCAAATCTATCATGAAACGTTTACAACTATCATCTAAAAGTAATAAGTCATTCAGAACTACCTACAGCTCCTGACGATGGAATTCAACGGATAGCGGATGCTGTCCATCATGGTGAACTAAATAATTCGTCGTTCTGAGACATCACTAGTATAGAATGCTAAGTGGAATCGGATCTATAAATTATTACTCGTTTTGTAAGGTATCATATTTTTTTTAAAATAAAAAAATAGTCTTGAGCCCTTTCTGTGAAAAGTCAACTTAACTTGAAACCAAGCTAAAACTATTGAGTCATATCAAATCGTACAATTAGTAAAAAAAAAAAAAAATGGTTGGTTGTAATTATCCCTATTATTATTTTTTTCGGATTTAAGTATTATTTTCAATTTATAAATCTGTTCCTTGGCTACGTTAATTTTTTTTTTTAAATATGTTCAACAACTTTCTTATGAATAAATTGTATTTTTATTTTTTATAAAATTAAATATTCAATTTTCAATTAATATTTTCAGATACTTGGGTAATATATTAAACAGTCATAACTTATAAAAAAAATATGTTTACTGAAATAATCAATTTATTCAAGTTGTTATGAAAAAGTCCACATCGGTTGATATCTCATTCATCAAAATCCATCACAACCGGGTGCCAGAAAAGGGATATATTTTTACTATTAGTGCTAAAGCTCGTATATAACAATTTAATTTTTTTATTCTTTTTAAGCTAAAGGTGGCAGTTTATAGTCTTCAACTGTTAAATAAGAAAATAGCACAGAGAAATAAAATATTAAATTATAGTATTTAAATAATAGGTTTTTTACTATTCTATATAAAAAAAACAACTCAATTTTTACATACGACCATTTGCATTAATAGTAGAGATATATAACCCTATTATATAAAATATAGATGTAATGAATAATCATTGACTTCAAAGGCAAAATAGATAAGAGTAATTTAAATAATAATAAATTATAATATTAGCAATGGAATGATAGAATTTTGTGAGTGAATTTATATGTGAATAAGACTTAAACTATTCGTCAATATCCATATTTATAGTTTCTAATTGTAGATAATGAAAATATATGGCTATTTTCTCATTCAAAACATTTTCTTTAAAACATAACACCCAAAATATATCTATATGTCAACGCAACGAGTAGGAGTTTAAGCAAGAAGTGGTCTGAATTGGCAACAGCTATTTAATGGAATAAGTCTTCCTTATTACCAGGATGATGCAACTGCACAGATTCAGTTAGCCACCGTCAGACCTCGCAACAACATGTAAGTTACAACATATGAACATATATATGCAATGAAATACGTTATACAAATAATACATAATGTAAGCAAAGATAAGAAAAACCTAACTTCAACACCAACCGAAACAGAAGGAAGACGCTAGGAAGTTATATAATGCTTTTATCTAAACATGCATATTTTTTTTTTCTCAATAGAATATTGTACGATACTGTATTGAAGCAACTTACAAACATACTCTATTCACTAGTAGAAAAATAAACTTAAAAAATGAAATATTTATTAGAATTCCCTTTAGAATCTAATCACCAAAAAACAACATATTAAACAATTATAACTGATAGAATGCAATAATTTAAATAATAGACGTTGTTTAAGATAACATAATTTTTTTCTTGTGCCTGATGAGTATGTATTTTCTTATCTTTCCCTAGGTTGACCATTTTGACCCTCTTGTTCCTCGTCAGCCTCTCAGAGCTATCTGAACAAAAGCCTAACCGGAGGCCACAACAAGAACCGGAAATAACTCTGTTCCCGTGCAAAAATTGCCGTGACACTGGTACGAGACAGGGGGCCAGAACATACAGAAGTACCTATCTCAGCGAAACCAAGACCAAGGCAAGTACTCTCTTGTTTTAATTTGCAAGTATGTGATCAGAATGTGGGATTTTTTTCAAGCTACGTTTGTATCCCAAAAACTGTTTAGACTATTTTGAAAAGAAATCTCGAAAAATCTAGATTTTTCTACCTATACTTTTGGTTTTACCTCAGGCATATCGGTGTTAAAAACCGTAACATAAGTTCGAAAAATTCAAATAGAAATTCTGTACCTTTAATAAAGACTTTGTAACAGCACAGGCATAATATAATTAACACCATAATAGAAAAATAGTGAAATTATATCCTTCCGTCATAATCCTACAAACATGTCAATTTCATTGTCTTTAATTAGAAAGCAATGAAACGAACAATACTCAATAAAACATAATATATCATTAAATGGAAAATGCAACAAACTTATATCTGAATGAAATAAATAATTATGATTTTTGGTAACTAAAATATGTATACTATTTTTTTATTATTGTATAGATTATCCGTTTCGTTAATTGGCAACTCCAATTAAAATTAAGAAAAATTGTTGAAAAACAAATTATTATTTTTTATTATCAAATAAATTAATTATTTCGGACAATAATGTTTTTAATATTTTAATAAGTAAATATATAATTAATATATTAATTTCATAAAGGAAATACTTTTTTTTACACCCATCATTTATTGTATCTTGCAATATTCTTTATTGATTCCATAATTATTTACATAACAATCTGATTTCTTAATTCAATATGAATAATCGGAAATTTAATACATATGATAATAAAAAAATATTTCAAGCAATAGAAACCTAAGAAATAATCCCTACTATTCTTTGACTTGAGATTCGGAAACAAGAGCGATCTAGCGGCGAAACGCCACACTATTGAGCATGGCACGAGAACGCAACCTGTTGTATATATTTAGAACTAAAGCAAGAATCGCGTGAGGGTAGCTTCTTTAATTTTATAATTTCGCAGCATTTTATAAAAAGAATGAAAAAAGAAACTACGTAAGTACATATTACCGCTATTTTGGGAATAGTGATAAAGCTGTTTTACCTAAGAAAAAAAATTGTTTTAATTCTTATTCCTGAAGCTGAAACACAGACTAGTTATTAATAAACTTTAAGTACGGATACTTATGGTTGCAAATGTTCAAAGATAAAAAACGCATTTAATGCATTTCACAAATATGTTAATACTATTACTTTAAAAAAAAATAATATTTAGATAGTTGCAATTTTATTCCTAAACCATGTGAAACATAAGATTAGCTATTATTG